TATGAGATATCAAATTAATTTAGTCTCTACTATCAGTAATACCCTTTAAAATATTCGGGTGTTACAGATCTCGTACTTGTAATAGGCTTAAAATATATTTGTTTATAATTGGATACAAGTTTATGTATGATTCAGCCATAATGTCTTAACGTTCGGTTTCTTTAAAAGTATTAAGTTTGAGGAATAGTTTGTAGGAGTAATTATAAGTGTTCGGATTAAGTTGTAAGTATTCGTCTTAGGAAATACCGTTCGGTTTTACATCAATAGTTCAGTTAATTATAAAGGTTCGGTCTTAGTTCTAGTGTTTGGTTTCGTAAGTTAGGGAGTTTCCGTTTGGTAGTATTCAGGGATTTTTGTAGTTACCATTTGGTCTTACACCAAGGGTCCAGTAATTATAAGTGTTCGGTATAAGCTCTAGGTGTTCGGTTTTGTCATAGTTAGTGAGTTTTCGTTCGATTGTACTCAAGGGCTGGTTGTTATCGTTCGGTCTTACTTTATGAATGATTATTTGGTCTTTAAATGTTAGTTTTCACTAGTTGATTCTGATTTATTCAAATGGTTGTATTGATCAATTGAGTATGAAAATTATGTTGATATTCAAATAAGGTATGTGTTTCAAGTAACATGGAAGAGAATTCCAAGAAGGAATGTCTCAGTGAAAGGTGTATTGAAGTGGTAAAGTATGAATGTGGATAGTGAAATCCACGGAGTTCATCATGATATTCTAATGATTACCAATTCTCAAGTAGAGATGGGTAATGCATTGTGTGAGAATGGCAGGAGGTCCTAGCTCATAGGTTCTTGGGTGAGTTATAACGAACTAACATCGGGTGACAGCTGATGGTTTTCCAGTTACTACACCACCCGAGTGCATGAACAACCTCAAGCTACATATTCATACAATCTTGATGGTCAAGTCAAGTGTTCGGTTTATGCATGTATTATGGGGTTAAATTTGTATATGTCTATTTGCATTGATTTTGGTATGCTATAGTATTCGGCTTTGTATTGTTTGTACTTGAATGAATTGTATGTATGCATGCCCAATTAAATTGCAGTAGCTTACCCTTATTTCCTGTTTTGTCCATGTTATCGTTCGGTTTATCTTGCGATGATCATCCTTTTTGGATGTGAGCAGAGGGGGAAGATTTTACGTTGGAACAGGAGCTGGATGGCGAGACTCCTGCTGAATAGGTCATGATCGTTCAGTCATAGTTGTGTTAATAGTTTTGGGTGAATCGTTCGGTCACCATTTTCATTCTGTAAATATAATCATTCGATTATGTATATAGTTTTGTAGTAGTATAAGGTGTGTTTATAAAGGTTTAAATTTTATGATTATTTGTAATAATTGAAAGTTTAACTTTATCAATGGAGTATTGTTCTATCATATTGTTAAATGATGACACATATACATAGTTTTGTATGCTATATTTTTGGGATGTTACAATTTTCCTTCTAATTTTAAAAGTTTATGAAAAATTCCTCTTCTAATTTTAGAAATAACGAAGAATTTTTCTTTTAATTTAAAAAATAACGAAGACTTGTTTTTATCTAATTTTAAAAATATTTAAGAATTTTTTTTTAAAATTTAAAGTTGGGATTGAATTAAACAAAACTACCGAAATTTTGGACAAAATTGATGAAAATTGTGATTCAATTAAACATAAGCCAGTAACATGTGATATTGATACTGACACAGTTACTTAACACGTGACATTTACACTGATTTGACACATGACACTAATATTGTCACGTGACACAATGTTGTAGACAATTTTTTTAAATTAAATTTTTTAAAGTATGTTAATAAAAATTTTAAAAAATTACGTGTGATCTACATTGTATTAATAATTTAGGTTAAATATGTTTTTAGTCCCTAAACTATTGACCGTTTCTGGTTTTCGTCCCTCTTCCAAAGTAAGGTACAATTTAGTCCTCAATCTTTAAAAAACGTTCGTTTTAGTCGAAAAAACGAACGTTTTGAGGACTAAAACGAGGACTAAAAACAAAATTTTGAGGACTAAAACGAACGTTTTTCTAAAGAATGAGGACCAAATTGTACCTTACTTTCGAAGAGGGACGAAAACCAGAAACGGCCAATAGTTTAGGGACTAAAAACATATTTAACCCTAATAATTTAGATGAGGTTAAAAATAATCAAATTGAATAAAATTTACTAAAATAAGAATTACATTAAACATCAATAAAAAAAATCTGAAAACAAAATGGACAAAAATAGAATGAAATAGTATTTAAGCCTAATTTATATTTTTAAAAAAATATTTATTTTACATTTTTGTTATTTACCATTTTGTTTGAATAAGGATTGTGGGCAATGCACTAAGCTGTTTGCATCTTCTACTTGTTTGTTTTTTAGAATCTATATCAAAAAGAAACACAGTGCAGCTACGCGCGACTCGTGTTTCAAAACCCTCACTCACTCATCGTCTTTCCTTCCACCATGAAGCTCGTCAGGTCTTACCTCTTCGTTCTCGTTTTCACTTCTCTCTCTCTCTCTCTCTCTCTTCTCTCTCTCTCTCTCTCTCTCTCCGTTTCAATTTGATGCTAAAAGGCGTGTGAAACTGGAACAGGTTTCTAATGAAGCTGAACAACGAAACCGTTTCGATTGAGCTTAAGAATGGCACTGTTGTTCACGGCACCATTACAGGTACTCTTCCGCTCTTTTCGATTGGTTTTCCTCTCCACTGCCTGATTTTGCTGCTGCCTTTGTTAAACCCTAGTTTTGCTTCGCTCTTAAACCTGTATATTAAGATTTAGCGTAAAAGCTTTCGATCTTGGATATTTATTGCGAATGGAATTCTGCAGGGATGCTCGCTTGTTTTCTCAATTCATAAATCTAATGTAGATTTCCATTGCACTCTTTAATCGTTGCCCTGATTTTTTTTTTTTTTGTGTATTTTGGGAACTAGTTCTGAGTAGCCTTTAGATGACGAGATTTGACATGTCCAAACCTTGTGCTCAAAGAACTTCACCGATGCCATTCTGTTATTGTGGAAAAAAAGTGAAGCAGAGGCAGTTTGGTTCTCTGTATGTAAATAAGATGCGCATTCTTTTGAGATGTTAGATAGCATGTGTGCATTCCACAGTAAGTGTCTGTAATTATGGTTGCGATGCTACAATTTAACACCCACCCACCCTAGCTCTCTCTCTTTTGTATATAGAAGACCACATTTCCATATAATATATCAATGTAAACTGCAGAGATTCTTATTAGTTATTCTTAGGTTGATCAGTTTGAAGATGCTATGTTATTAATAATTTCATGTACGTATCAAATGGCTATGTTTTATCATAACGGACAATCTCTCATGCCAGGCCAAAAAAATAAAATCATAATCATGTATTACTTGCAAAGCATTACTGGCAATGCTAAACTAAGATCCATTTCTTCACTTATGTTCAACATTTTTTTTTTCAGTCTGAGTTAGATTTTATAATTGGTATATGACTTTTTTAACTTGTGATTCCTTTGTTAACATTTTCATGTCTTGTCAGAGTGAATGGCTATTTTTCTGAGTCAATAAGATGGAAACTCTGTCATCAGCCTGATAGGTTGCAACTTACTGCATAGCTAATATGATCTGGAATTTTTAAGTTTGAAATCTCTCTGTTCTCCTTGCTCCCAAACTTACTGTAAGGCAGACCATTTTTTGGTTGCATGCTGTGGCTTCTTCTGCATTCATGATTTTTCATGTTATACTTTGTTCTTTTTACTGTTACACCTTATGTTATGAATTAAAACTTTTGTTGTCTTTTTCTGTAGTGTAATGTCCTCTAAGAAGCTCAAACACTTATAGATGGTAACCGTGTCATGTAATATTTTTCTATGTTGGGTAAATGCAGACACTTTCAAAACTATTAGTTTTATTTTTATAATTTTTCTACTTTTAAAGTTTTTTTTATACTAATATTGTTTGAAATAATACATTAAGTAAGTAGATAATTTTTAACATCATACTCCATCTATAATAACCCATTCTCATTTTTTAAACATAAATTCCCTTCTTCAATTTAAAATCAATATTAAATTTCAAGTAGTTTTTCTGTTGTATTATATCCATGTTGTGTCCTATAATTTTTAAAATTGGGTGAATCTCTGTCCGTATTACACCTCTATTATATTTCTGTCCTGTATTGTATCCATGATTTCCAGCCTGTCCTCTTATTTTTATTGACACTTTTTGCTCCTTTATAAATTTCATTAAAATGTCTGATGTAAAAGAAGTAATTAATTACTTTTTTATGTTTAAACTCTTAACTTGGAACAGTGGGAAGATATGTGTTGCTTATGAAATTTTTGTAAGAAGCATCGTGAACTATGGACTCCACCTCACTTTTGAGGCAAATCTATTTAAACTTCATTTATTCCATAACAGTAATTATTAACCTTGTAGCCTCTGGAGTAAGTTTGCATAATGCTGTAATTTAGTTAGCTATATTGTATCTGCATTTTAGTTTTGTCCTTTACTATTTTTTGATGGTATGATACGCAACTCCTTTATTGCCTTACCTATACCAAATTTGGCTGACATATACCATTCTCTTCGTTCTTTGAGTTTAATTTAGACCCCCTGCAGTTTGTTGTGTGAATTTTTCTTTTGAACAAGCTTCTCGTGGATTTAGTTTGGCTTAGTCACACGCACACGCATAGAAAACTCTATAAATTATATCACAATTTTTGTCTTTAGGTTCAACTCAATAAGTCAAGACTACCTTCTACACCTGTTTTTATGATGAAACGAGATCAGCCATGTTTCATAAGGATAGTGAATCCTTATATTATAATAGGACAATGCATTAGTACATATTCCCAAACGCAATCAAATTAAGCATCAAGGAATTTCCTTCTCTTTACTTGCAACTAATGAGTACCTATCAGCTCATTTCTAATTTTGAGTTTACCGTTTTGATGCCCTTAATTCTTATTTGGGATTGCATGAGAAGTATTTTGTAGCTTTAGTTGTGCTTACCCATGGGTTTGTCTATATATTACAGGTGTTGATATCAGTATGAATACACATTTAAAAACAGTTAAACTAACTCTGAAAGGGAAAAACCCAGTTACTTTGGATCATCTGAGTGTGAGAGGCAACAACATTCGTTATTATATCCTTCCTGATAGCTTGAATCTTGAGACATTACTGGTTGAAGAGGCTCCTAGGATCAAGCCTAAGAAGCCAACTGCTGGTACTGTATCTTATTTGACTGACTCCAGAAGTAGATTGTTTTTCTCACAGGTCCATTATGTTCAGGTTTACTGTTATCTTTGGATTTCTGGTTTTCAATGTTCTGATTTTATATGCAGGGAAGCCTTTGGGGAGAGGTCGGGGACGAGGGCGTGGACGCGGACGTGGTCGTGGCCGTTAAATTGCAAATTAACTGAATTTGTGGCCTTTGGTTGTACCTTTATTGTAGGAAATTTTTCTAATGAGTTTAAAGACGTTGTAGCAGTGCTGTTGACCAGTTAAGTTAGTCATGCAGACTTTATTCACGTTGCCATTTTCTTGCATCAATGCTTTGAAGTTCCCTTGTATAATTCTCCCTGTTGGATCATTGTCATATTTCAACTGAGAATCTGCTGCTTACATATGTGTAGTTTTATGGGGCAAGGTGAACCAATAGGAATTCGTAGAGGTGATTTTATGTCAATGGGTGACTTTAGACGTAGTATATTAAAATCGAGTTGTCATGTCAAAACGCACCAAAAACAACTAATGATTACTTATTTGATCCATATTAAAAAGCTAAACAAGATAAATTCTATGTATTACTTACATAGATTTTTATCCAATGAATCTAAAATAGTTTAATTTATAGATTCCTTTACGAAGGTTTTTGTTAACTTGAGTTAATTTGAAATGTGACTTTAAAAGTATTATGAAAATAAACCTTGTTATCATATATGACAGTTTAGGGATGAAATGTGCATTAGTTTTTTTTTAATTGCATGTAACATTTATTAGACGTATCAAAAAGTCTTTGTGAATTTAATTAAATCTAGTAGTAGTGTAAATACGGGTTGTGGAAACACCTACAGGATGCCGAGAGTATATTCCATGATCTTAGATTTTTTTTTTTTAAAAGGAGGCGGATAGGAAATCCAAACATGAGAAAAGAAAAATAATGAGATGTTATAGTAAGTTATTGGCTTAATTAAGCTTTAATTATTTGTAAATATAAATATTTTTAATTGAGTTTTTATTAAACAAAGTTTTTGTTAATTAAATTAAGTGATTGTAAATAAATGAATTGTTATAGTTAATATAAAATGTTATTATAATTAATATAAAATAATAAATTACTATTATTGTTTTTTTGTTAAAATATATTATATTTAATGAAAAACGATAAATAATAATTAAAGATATCTTGATTTTGAAAGGGGTTATTGTTGGCTATATCATAGTGATGATATGAAGATATCTTAGTAATAAATAATAACGTGAATGCTAAAAAGATAACATGACGTTGGTACTCAAAAAATCTTATCTTTTAATACTGAGATAAAATAAAATATTTAGATATATAAAATTTTTAAAAATATAGAAATTTTAATTAAAATTACTCAAATTTATGAAAACTTAAAAGGTTATTTAGTTGAACTCAATCATGAAAATAAAAGTTGTGTGTTTAGTTATATCCCCTAAAATTTTTAATTCCATATTTTATTTATTGATTATCACTTGTTTTCATAATATTTTTTATAAATTTAATCAATAATTAAGTTGCTTTAAAAATATATACTATTAACGCTATCCAGTAAGGAAAAACTTTTATTGTTTATTTAATATTATAAATATTTTTTCTTATGATTATTGTTATTAGTAAAAGTAAAGTTTTTGTCGTATTTTTATGCTGACATTTTTGTTGTGTGAAAACAAATTTTAGATAGATTAATAAAAAAAATTTAATAATTTTTTAACAATAAATGATGTATTATTATTTTATTCGTTCATATATTTAAAACATATATCACATGTTATAAAAAAAGTTAGTGAAAAAAATTAAAAAAAAAACATTTTCTACTGATATTTTTTACATAAAGAAATAGCAATCACTTTGATTAAAAAAAATTTAGAATAATAAAAATATATTAGTATAAATTGGTAAAAAATGGTTGTTAGGTGGGAAAGAAAGATAGAAAGGGGAAGGAGGAGGAGAAGTTGTCTGTAGTGCAGAAGAAGCTAAGGTTTTGAAAATTGTGGTGGTAAGTAAACAGTGTGAGCACGCAACCTTACAATAACAATCGAGAGGAGAGAGAGATAAGAGAATATTGTCAGAATCAGCAACAGTATCATCAGGATGGGGAAGGCCAAAGAAGCGGTGGTGGTTGCTGGAGCCCTAGCATTTGCGTGGCTCGCCATAGAGCTCGCTCTCAAACCCTTCCTCTCCAAGGCACGTGACTCCGTCGATAAGTCCGACCCTGCTCGTGACCCCGACGACGTTTCCGCTGCCGATGTTCCTATACCCACAACCGACGACCTGCCGGATGTCTCTGCTTCTCAAACGGCGGACGCCTGAACTTTTCCTATTCATGTATTTTCAATTTCGTCACATCTCAAAATTCTCCAAATCGAATAACCTCCTTGCTTTCTGTTCAATTTGTATATTGTGTTCTGTCTTGTTGTAGGATCCAAAAAATATCAGGTTCTTTTGTTCCCTTTCTTTTGGGTATAAACAACGGACAACTGGTATTTTCGTATTTTCCGTTTTAGCTTCTCTAATCATGCTGTGCCTGCCTCACTACTGCCTGTAACTATTTTAAGAACACTAGGATGTAGTACAGCACTCAACACCTTAAAGTTTAGGATAAGGGATACTAGATACTGTTTGATGAAATGCTTGAACAAACAAATTTCTCAGTAATAGCATAGGAGAATTAGAAGAAATATAAAATAAAGTTATTCATACAAGAAATTAAAAATCAGAGAAATTCTACACTAAAAAATTCATGAATTAATTTTGGTTTATGAAGAAACTTAGTTTATTTATTTTTATTTATGTGTACTCCTTTATAAATCTTTGTAGAATTTGTCCAAACATTTCATCACTTGGTGAGGCATCATTAGTGGTGTTCTTTATAGTTGTTTTCAAGGACACATCTGCTAGGTTTATATGGGTCCTGCCATGTTCTGAGGATATCGATTTACAAAGAGCCTCGTTTTATCCTCGTGATTTTTGACTTGAGAACTCACAACAGTTGTGTTCAGAGAATTTTGTGAACTCCTTCAGGGGATGTAAGGCTGTCACATATCCAGGGAATGAAACAGATGCACATATCACTTTTTTTTTCTAACTAGTTTAGGTGAATTGAATCTAAAGTCTTCACTAGGGAGAAATTGTCTCCAAACTCTGAGCATATACAGAAGTATTTATAGATTATCTATCTATAAGATCTTCACACTAACAATGAAAATTCAAACTCAAGTCCTTGTCTATATTGCTAGTTAAATATTCTTAATATTCTACTCAGAATTTCTGTATTGAAAATCGATTCTCTTTCTGGTTATACCTGTGATCTTTTATAGACTACTATATTCATACCATAAAAATTACAAAACGGTGTGATGCTGGCTTGGTAGGATTCAATAATATCAATTTTTTTAAGGCTAGACCATCTTGTTCTCGAAGTGAGCAAATATTGTCTGTGTATGTGTTAAAAGATGATTTTTTTTTTCCATCATGCAGAATCCCAGATAAAACTCTGCACAAGTTTTCAATTATCAGTGATACTCAGCAAACATATGGTGGGGTCTCACTATAATTTTATATTGGGGTTTTAGAAAATAGGAAAATAAATTGAGTTGATTGCACTTTTCATTCTTATATTTTATTTCATGATTCTTTTTCCTCTTAGATACAGTATACTAGTGGTCTAAAATGTTGCCTTAAACTAATTTCACTCTATTCAGAAGTGAGTAAAATTTGATTAATCTGTCAATAATCAAAATTGAGCAGTGCTTGAAGAATTTGACTTTTGCCCTAGTATATTAACTAACCACTTTATCAAGTTTCCGGGTTAGACACTTTATTTTCAACACTTAATAAAGAAAATATCATAAAATATTTTTCACAAATTTTACAATATAACTTTATCTTTATCTTTAGAAATTAGAATTTAGTTTTTAATTATACTTAATTTAATATTAAATTGATTTTCTCCTCATAAAAATTTAAAAAACTAAATATATTTTTAGTTTCTAAATTTAGAAGTGAAATTATGAAATTGAAATTCTTCTTTATTGTATATTTTGATATGTTTTTATTTTTAAGCTTTAAAAATAAATAAATATAATATTTTTAATCTATATTTTTTTAAATATTAAATTATGTTAGAGACTTGCATATAAGTTATATATATTATTTGAAACTTTTAACTCGATTTAGAATATTGGTTAGAATAATTTTAAAATAATTTTAAAAGTGAATAAATAAAGTTTTTTTAGTCTGGTTAATTTTTTTTAACTATGTTAATTTTCTTTCAAAAATGTTAAATTATGTTAGAGACTTGTATTTAAGTTATATATATTATTTAACACTTTCAATTCAAATATCAATTTAAAATATTGATTAAAAAGTTAATGCAGTTGGTTAAAAGATTATATATATATATATATATATATATATATATATATATATATCATATTAAAATTTAAAATAAAAATAAATTCTAACTTCACATATAGAGAATTAGATCAATGTGGTGTGGAGGAAAAGGGTGACCTGTTTTAATTATAGAGAATTAGATGAATGGGTGGTGCATGTAGATAGCAACGTTGGTGTCAGATTGTGTCACCTCTCATTTGTCATATAATAAGCATTTGTCTTTCGCAGCTGCAACCTAATAAAGGAAGTAACACGTGAACATGAGATAAGAAAGAAAAAGAGATAATATATGAACTAAAAAATTGACAAAAGAGATTCAAGATATCTCATTTTTTGTTTGCTTAACTCTAGCATTCTTTGAACAAAACTCTTATAATATTATATGTAAATTTTCTTTTACTCTATTGTTTTTCACTGGACACAAAGAAATTTGAAAAAGTATTAATATTTTATATTTTATATTACAAATTAGTTTTCTGAAATTATCACACTACGAATGAGATTTATAAAGTTTTATCTGTATGGTTTAATGGCTCCGAGTAAATTTCACTAACAATGAAAACAAAAAATTTAATGAATACCTTTATTTTAAAACAATAGATTAGGATTAATACATCTTTGCAGTGGTTCTCAATACATTTTCACATTAATTTTAATTAAAAATATATTTATTCATTTTTTAATTAACACCAGAAAAGTCACTAGTGCTGTGCAAATATTTTAAAATAAATATCAATAATTGTGTTCATAATTGTACAAACTAGAATATTTTTAATGAAAGTTTTATCATGAGTTTTTATCAATAAAAAATGTTTTAACATAAATTTTGCAAATTTAAATGGAGATGTTGTTGGCAAAATTTGGGGAAGAGAATATATATTTTATACATTCTTTATAGTAAGACAAGTATTTATCTTTTCAGCTTGTTTGGTTGATGGACCCAAACCACGTGACCAAACACGACTAAAATATGGGTGTC